CCTCTCGAACATCTTCGGAAAACACGGTTTGGGGCTCTTCGGTGCAGGGAGGTGGCACTATGGGCAAAGGCAGTGAACATGTAGTACACTGATCGATAAACCGCATTTCCTTGATTGGCTTTCTTTGGCATCCCGGTCAGCAACCTTATCACCTTATCAAAGGAAGTGGGTTCACCAATCAGCGGTTGAGATTTACGCTCAGTCCTTCCCCAGAATCTAGCAACCGACGCGGGGCGCGCTTTCGCTTTCAATCAACGCTTCCAGTGCACTGCCTGCAGGACCAGCGACACAAAACCTAAAAGCTTCTTAACTCTTGAGCTACTGTTCAAGCTGTAAAAGCTATGTGGCCCCTCAAACCCAGTTCCGGCGGAAGACTGACTAGGGATTAATGCTGGGCTTCTGTGTGATGCACCTCAAGGGCGAGAAGAATGATGACTCACTCCAGTCAACACAGTGCTTGTGTTTGAAGGAAGTGGTAGGAAATATCTGCGAGATGCACATGCACCGATTAGATGCGCGTGGTAGTACACATGCATATAACTGCGCTGCAGCTCCATGATAGGACGTTCTCAAGGCCATCCAGATCTTGAGCTTGAGCCTGAGAAATTCCTACAGTTAGACATCTGCCCAGAAGCGAGACGCACGCGAGGGCCAGATTTAGTCGCCGGTACGTCATCCTGCGATGGACAATGCTGAAGGAAACAAGTTGCCTGAAGTTGGGATTTGCGACACTCTGTGCGACTCGGAGTCGAGATGCGCAGCGGGGAAAACCCTTTTCTTGCCAAGAAATGGGAGGGCTGAAGGTGACCTAGGAAGTCGGTGGCTCAGCTCCGGCCGACTTGATCCTGAATGAACAACGCCGAGTTCGTGAAAAAGAGGACACTGCTACATATACCACTGTTCGAATAAATGATTTCCCGACGAAGCGGAGAAACCTAAATCAGAATCTGGGGCAGACGTACTCGGCAAGCTGCACATGACAGCCGGTCCTGTTCATGGCCCACCAGCCCTCCTTGCCTGGCATTCTTCTGGCTTGGCTTTCGCGATTTCGCGATGTTTCCAGACTTCCAGAGCTTCTTGGGGTTTGGGAAGCTTGGGAGCCACAAGCGAAGATTCGGCCACAGGCCAGGGCACTGGCGGAGCGCATCAGCGAGAGAAAGACGGAGGCTCCCACGGGAAGCTGCGCCAATGCCTGGTGACGGGTGTCTAGGGAGGTGCTGTGCTTCCTGTCTGGAAGTTGGGAAGATTGTGCTATCCTGGTGCTATGGCTTGCCTACACCTGCTGGGGGTCCAAACTTTCTCAGTGTCCAGTCCGCCTCCCCTGAACCAAAAAGTTAAAGCAAGAACAAAATGCAAACAAAGCTCGACCTCCAAACACAAAGTTTTGTGGTGGTCGGTGGCCAGCAGCCGTGAGCATCTTTGACAAGTTAACATCAGGTCAAGGAGGATCGGTGGGCTGTTTTCGAAGACTTGACGAATTCAAGTGCAGTCCGAATGGCACAACCCAGCGGCGCTCCCTCCAGACAAGAAACAGCTGCTCGACGTTCAGACCATAAGCCGGGCCTGTGCGATGGTCAGGACGTTGTGGCGCATGGGCAGCCGAAGCCTGCGACGCCGAATTCTCAGACCGGGATTAAGTGACGCGGTTCGCACAAATTGGGGTCATCCTGCTTCCAGCGCGAGATTCCAGCAACATGGACGTCAACGACACCGATTCTTAGCATGGCCTCGTGTGAAGGACATCTCAGATTTGCTGAACCCCTCTTCCCTGTTCGCGCTTTGGATGCGAAGAAAGTGCAACCATAGCCGTAGCTGTCCAGGCAACCAAAGACCTCGGCGAAGGGCGCTAGATGGTGTAA